GAATCACCTTGAGCTGAGCGTCGCTAAGCCAATCAGGGCAGAATGACGACCAGCAGGAGCCGATGAAGGTCTAACACAGCAACAGTTATTTAGCCGGCCAAAGAACCACACGGCCTAGATAGGAAACCGGAAGTGAACACATTGGGCCTCCAGCAGAACACCAGCAAAGGACAAACAGCAGCGTCTGGTACAGAACAAACATTAAGAAAGTAAATTTGTGTAATTGAAAAACTGATAAGACAAACATTGCACTCACCACTGAGCCTAAAGTGTAGCTCCTCTAAAGGAGGAGGAATCAGGTAGACTCATTCTGGTAGCCTATTGAAACAGAAGCTAAGTTAAAGCTAGGCTACAAACAAAAACACCCAGGAAGTAGAAGCACTCCTTACCATAAAAAGGATCAAGGGTCGTTAACCGCACCCTTCATGCACCCACTAGCCTGGGGCTAGCGTGCAGCACCCGCAACCATAGTAGTCTGAACCGGGAGGCAACCATGTCACACAGGTAGAGGGRGGGCCCTTTATATACAGGCAGCCAGCGCCACAACCAATTAGATGCAGGCACTTGTGTGGTGCATTCAAAGCCTACAGGGCATACTGCCACACAACCATAGTTCCAATTACAGGGGAACATTAAGACCAATTTAAAGGATTAGCATTCTTTGAAGTTAGGGGGAGTGGGGTAAGTTGATCAATTTTTACCTCCGCCAAGGGAGGAGGTAATTTTTTCGGTTGCGTATGTCTGTCTGTTGGTAGACAAAATAACTCAAAAACTTWTGGACGGATTTTCATGAAATTTTCACCGCAAGTAGGTATTGCCAAAGGAACACACCATTAAATTTTGGTGATGATCCGGATCACAATCCGAAGCCATGAACAGCCAATCAGCTTCAAGGAAGCTGACCGTACACTTCCAATCACATCGGATCATTCGTAGACGGGTCAACACCCCGACTGTACACATCCAAAGGGATTGCCTGAATCGGTGTAGAAGACCAATAGCAAAGCACATGGAAATAAAACTTTACACTGAATTGTTTTTAAATCGAAAAACTTACTGTTTGAAGTTACTTTAATGTAACAACAGATCATTTTCATACTACATTGGCCTGCACGTCCTAACAATTTTGTGTTTAAGTTTTTGGAGTTTCTTTCCCCCTACCTGTATCAGAAGGGTAAGCTAGCTAACGCACCACCCCACGTTCAGGTCTGTTATCCAGTACATAACGCTAAGGTTTTCTTAAACAATTATGTTTATTCTGTTTTTTTTTTATGGCTAAATGTTTTTTTTTCTGATGCTGTTCCACTCCTTCTGTTGCATGTAATTTATTACATGTTCAGTCATTGTAAAGCACTTCTACACAAACACACAAATGACTAAAAATGTAATAAATCACACAAAACAAACACACACACTCACACACAAACATACGACCTTGGCGGAGGATGGTGTTCCCAGAGTGCTTCTAGTTTACTTATGCTGTTCTCAAGGCAAAGGAAAATGGTACACAAGTAAAACTAAAACATCTCTATTCATTTCAGGATGTTTCCCATCAGCGGAAATGCTGATGTTTCCCATCAGCATTTCCGCTGCATCCATAACAAAAAAGAGAAAAATATAACTTCTTTAAAAAAAAAGTGGTCTTGTGGCTGAACTTGCCCCAGCTTAGGGGTAAATTGAGCCAAGCCAGGGGGTAAATTGAGCCACATGGGGGTAAAGTGACCAAATTACTTTTTTCAATTTAAACTTGAGAGTAATTTTGAATTATCCAAAAGGAATCTTTAAACTATATATAACAAGTCAAATACAAGTGTATTCAAAAATATTTTAATTAAAATGATGATACAACAATTGAACACTATTAAACAGTAGTTTCTGTGTAGTGGTGGGGACTAGTCCCCTAAAGCGCCAAAGCRCTATTTGCGAATCTAAGTTTCAAGTTTGCACTTTAGGAGTTTAACTCGTTTTTTCTAACGATCTGCGGATTTACACTTTCTAATTTTAAAATTAACACAACAAATTTTAATTTTTTATTTTGATCATCGTTATTTTCAACGGCGGAGAAAAAAAGTCATCTTTACTCACAAAAAYACAGTACCATGCAGTACCATTTCTTTCTCTCTTATGGATTTTCCTGCCTTGACCTCARCAGCTGCTCCCTCCATCTCCTCAAGGGGTGCCCCCGTGCACCCCCAAGTCTGTCTTTCTGCTGTGTTTTCTTGCCATGATTATGGTTCTACAAGGTGTAAAATATTAGGTGAAAAAAACAGCTATGAAAGATATTTAAATATGATTTTTTATATTTTTAGACTTTATTTTAATCATGCTTCAAGTGGTTCAACTTACCCCAAGGCATTTGGCTCACTTTACCCCACAGCCACCATTTTGGGAAAAACAACCTAGCTTAGCAAATCAAGCTACTCTTTAGCTAAATGGTTCACATGGCTTAATATGTTAGTAAATCTTCAACATTTATTGTATACATTTTTAGACCTGGATGGATTATCTTTCGTGTAACAGTTAATGTGGAAATGTAAAAAGATTACTTTGACAAGCAAAAAACTGTTTTTTGTTTTGTTTTGTTTTGTTTTGTGAAGAAAACAGAGTTTCCACATTACCACATGCTTCTCTCAAACACAGGGAAAGCTAAATGGAGGGTGCTTGCAGAATTTATGTGTACCATTTCCTAGATACAGGGGGTGGGTCAACTTACCCACTGGCTCATCTTACCCCACTCACCCCTATGCACCATTTTATGCAGAGTTTTAGGGAAAAAGTTACAAAGTTTTGCACATAATGCTCAGAGTAYATTACATTAAGAATGACTCAGCGACTACCACAGTAGATTATAGCTCAGTATCTTTAAAACTGACTGAGTCAAAGTCAGTTTTGTGTTCTTTAAGCTGTTTGTTGCARCCATCTTGAATCAGGTTTATTCCAAAAGTTATTAGCTGCAGATGTACAGCCATGAAAAATGGAAGAAAACTTGATTCTGTGGTTCCTGAGATATTTTGGTAACAGACAGGCAGACACAGGCAAAGACAGTATCCCATGCTGCCAAAAGGTGAAATGTTCTAGGTTATTTGCCATATTTACATTTTGTAAATGTGTTTTTTTATATATTCACTCTTTATTCACTAGAGTGAATCATACCAGCTCTTACCTTTACTGTTCCATGAACCTTCTGCTGCTGTCAATCGATTTTCCCTTCCTGCCTCAAAGCATGCAGCATGCATCCTCTGAAAAGAAAGTYAGCTTTTATCTAAATATGTTAATATTCACCACAAGTCAAGCAGGCACAAAGTAAGCAGCGATAAAATATTCTGATTAATGCCTTTTTTCCATGGTTTACGTTTAGAATTTTGAATTAGATCCTGTGACGTTTCTGATGGTGAATTCTAGCCTTTCCAACTTTTGTCCTAAATTACAGTTTAGCTGACTAAGCTACTGTTTTCCTTAAGAACATTGCAGAACTCACGTCAGGACACTTTTTAGGAGGAGATAGTTGAATAGATTTGGTGGAGAAATATGTTACTGTAGTGCAGGACATGTAAAGGACAGAGACAGATTGAGGTGTGCAGTAGAGGTGACATGAGTTCACAGTGGAGGTTTGATTACAGCCCCTTCTATATTGCTTTGATGATTGACAGGTTGACAAACAATGTCAAGCAGGAGTCCCCATGGATTATAATGTTTGTAAGCAATGATTATCTGTATGTAGTAAGAGTAGGGAGCAGGCAGAAGAAAGCCTAAAGAGGTGAAATATGCTCTGGAGAGAAAAAATATAAATCAGTAGCAAGAGAGAGTCTGTGTATATGTTTTATGTGTTATTAAACTTATTAACACTAGTTTAAATTAAATAGGTTAGTTTCATTGCATTGTATTGTCAGATTAGCAACTGTACTTGAAGTTAAATGGGCATATGATATTGCATCATATTGATGGCAGATTTGTGACTTGAATCAAAATTCAACAGTCAAAATAGACTTTGTGATATTGAAAAACATTGTTACATCATCCAAACTAATTGAAATAATATATTATGCGTGATCAAGATGGTGATTTACATCTGTAATAAGAAACATATTAAGAAATTGTACTAGTTTTAGGGGGAAAACTAAACATACATCCAAACATTAATTTAGAATGCTTTGCTGATGTCAGGTATTAAATGTCAGTTTTTCAGGCAGTTCTGTGGCAGAGATTATTGTGTTTAATGAGAACATGTGAACTGTGTTTAATTTATGGAAACAACAAACAAGAAAAATACTGGAATAAATAAAAGGCTTCAGCTGAATTGCATTGGACTGTTTCATGTAACGAAAAAGTCAATCCCTTGATAACTTGTTTCAAACGTCAATAGATTAGATTTAAAGCCTGTAGCCTAAAGTACATTGGCATGCATTGAGCATTAGAGTGATTTCTTCTGCATTTGTTGTCGTTTTGGAGTGTTATAGGACTGTTTTGCTTCTTTGTTACTAGACTTTGAAAGCAGTTATTTTGTGTTTCCACTGAACCCCTGAAAACAGGCATTCAAACTAACTTTGTTAAGGCACAGAATGAATGAACTGGTTAGCTGCATTTATCTCATAAAACCTCAGTCTGGTTCAAAGCCTTTGCTTCAATTACTCTAAGGCGTCCGAGTCCGAGTGGGCCATGTTCCGTGCCTCCATTGTCAAGGCAGCTTACCTGAGCTGTGGCTGTGGGGTTGTCGGTGCCTGTCGTGGCGGCTATCCTCGAACCCGCTGGTGGACACCAGGGTTGAGGGATGCTGTCAGGCTGAAGAAGGAGTCCTATCAGGTATTTTTTGCCTGTGGGACTCCGGAAGCAGCCGATAGGTATCGGCAGTCCAAGCGGATTGCGGCTCGGGTGGTCGCTGAGGCAAAAACTCGGGCATGGGAGGAATTCGGAGAGGCCTTGGAAAAAGACTTCCATATGGCTTCGGGGCGATTCTGGTCCGCCATCCGGTGTCTCAGGGGGCAAAAGCGGTTTGCCACCAACACTATTTATGGTGGGGATGGTGCGCTGCTGACCTCAACTCAGGACGTTGTGGGTCAGTGGGCAGAATACTTCTAAGACCTCCTCAATCCTATCAATACGTCTTCCCACGAGGAATCAGAGCCTGAGGACCCTGGGTCAGACTCTCCAATCTCTGGTGCTGAGGTCACTGAGGTGGTTAAAAAAGCTCCTCGGTGGCAAGGCGCCGGGGGTGGATGAGATTCGCCCAGAGTTCCTTAAGGCTCTGGATGTTGTGGGGTTGCATTGGTTGACGTGACTCTACAATATCACCTGGACATCGGGGGCAGTTCCCTTGGATTGGCAGACAGGGGTGGTGGTCCCCCTATTTAAAAAGGGGGACCGCAGAGTGTGTTCCAACTATAGGGGGATCTCACTTCTGAGCCTCCCTAGTAAGATCTATTCGGGGTTCTGGAGAGGACGGTCCATAGGATAGTTGAATCTCAGATTCAGGAAGAGCAGTGTGGTTTTTGTCCTGGTGGTGGAACAGCAGATCAGCTCTACACCCTCAGCAGGGTCCTGGAGGGTGCATGGGAGTTC